AAATGATTTCTTTTGACAGTATTTCAGTTTTATGCCAGCTTTTTTTTTTTTCACAGGCAAGGTATGAAAAATGAGATCTGTCCTAACTTGAAGAAGAGCTCGTGTTCCTTTGAATACCCAGAGTTAGACATTTTAGGAAATTATACAATTATTGTAGAGGCACAGAATGCTCTCGGCAAAGCCTCATCTGATCCTTTAGACCTGGACGTTTGGCATACTTGTAATTATCAATATTTCATTCAACAATTTGTATTGTATAGTAATTTTCAAAGCCATTGTAAGCTTGAAAGTGTCAGATAAGAGGGGGGGAAATAGAACGTGTAATTTTTCTAAGAATGTCCTTTTGTATTGTACACTTTTCAATGGCAATAGACGTAAGATGTAGGAACAGAAGTAGACCATTCAGCCATTCCATCTGCTCTGCTGTTTGATGAGATCATTGCTGATCTGATAACCCGCAACTCTACTTTCCTGCCTTTTCCCCATAACCCCTGATTCCCTTTAGATTAAAAATCTGTCTATCTCAGGTTTATATATATTTAATATATATTTAATGATCTAGCTTTGACATTCCTCTGTGGTAAAGAATCCTGAGAGAAGAAATTCCTCCTCATCTCTGTCTTAAATGTGCGACCCCTTATTCTGAAATTATGTTCTCTGGTCCTAAACTCTCTAACAAGGGGAAAAAACGTTTCCACATCTATCCTGTCGAGTTCCCTACGAATCTTGACTGTTTCAATATGGTCGTTCCTCATTCTTCTAAATTCCAATGAGTACAGGCCCAACCTTCTCAATGTCTCCTCATAAGATAGTCCCTCCATGCTTGGTGTTAGCCAAGTGAACTTTCTCTGGATTGTCTCCAATGCCAGTATATCTTCCCTTAAACAACGTACTCCGAACTGTTCGTAGTATTCAAGCTGTAGTCTGACTGATGCCTCCTATAGTTTAGTAAGAAACAGTATGAGTAGCTTGTTCTCCGTTCTCAAGTTTGGGTGCTACTCTGCTCAGATGTTCCAAATTACCTGTAAATGATTTCAATTGTCTGCCTGTGCTCCCAGGCAGGGAGACACTGCCATTCCTTGTCCACAACTGGCAAAAGAGTACAGACGCAGGGAAATATCAGGGAATCATCATGTATCTTTCAAAATTTACTCTCAGTCCTGCCTCCAAATCACTGTCCTCAGAAATACTGCGATTATTCCCCATGTATCCAAGAACACATTCACTGAAGAATGGCTAATATAATCCAAGTTGAACGTGAAGCAATCTCATTGTCATTTGTTTTTTGAAGTTTTAATAAATGCAAGATAACTTGACTGATTACTGGTTTATTCTTCAATGCAGGGAAAACTGATCCACCTTGGAATGTAACCACTCACTCTATCCTGGGTCAATCAAGGTCTTTGCTTGTAACATGGTGCAAACCTAAAATGGCACCACCAAAACTTCCATTATACTATAGTCTCCAATACCAAATAGTTGGTACAAGCAAATGGATTCAGGTACACAACCATTTGAATCAATTGTAAGCCACTTTTTTGAACTAACATGCCACCAAAGTACCAACAAAATGCATAGTGTTTCAAATTCTGTGTAACGTTTTATCGTATATTGCTATGTAACTAATAGTTTAAAATTTATCTTGATTGTGACAACATTAGACTGTATTTGTCTGCTCACTCAGCCTTCTAAATCACCTTGAAACTTTTCCAAATCAAGCTGATAACACACTTTCCCACTTAGTTTTGTGTTATCCACAAACTTGGAAATATTTCATCTGGCAACCTTATGTATATCAACAATTGTGAGTTTGACTTCTCAGTTTTCTTGATTTGTTAAAGGAAATTTGGTCTTTAATAGTTTAAACAAAACTGAAGCTCTGATCAAAACCGAAAGAACTGCGGATGCTGGAAGTCAGAAACAGCTCTGATCCTTGTGATGTCCATTAGTCATAGCCAGCCAACTGGAAACCTGCTCATCTATCCTGGTGCTCGACTTTCTTTCTGTTAATCAGCCCACAATGCATGCTAGCATATTACCCTTTATCACATGTATTCGAATTTTGTTTACAACCTCTTGTATGGAAACTTATCAAAAGCTTCCTGACCATCCAAATACACATTGTCTGGTTCTGCTTGTCTATCATCATGCATTTTCAATATTTCTTCAAAATCCATCATAGCCAAATTGCTTCCAATGCCTCCATGCTTTCTTTTGTTTGATTTAAGACCCTGGTTTTGGATTGAATTATGTTGTTTTCAAGTTTAGGGAATATTCCAGCATATTTTGAACTCTTTTCTAAACATTATTTTACAAGAGTAACTAGACGCTTTTTATTGTATAAAGCTAGATCTAAATTAGCCTATTCCTTTATTGGATCCTTAACATCCAGAAATCCATTTGTCATAGAATTGGTGCTCATTAGATTTACCTAGTCTATATGGAGATTGAAGTGACCCATGCTAACTACAGCACCTCTAATTTCCTGTTTGGTGGTTTTAAAAAAAAATCTACTAATGTTTCCTGCCTCTTGGTTCTTCTAGCTCCGCCCTAACAGATTTACAGCTTGTTCTTCTGATTTAAGATGTACTGATCCCATTCTAAATTAACAGTACTACTCCAGTTCCTTTTTCTTTTTGTCTGTCCTTCTTATATGTTGAATATGCTTGAATTTTAACAGCTTTGGCCATTTTTCAACCATTTTCCAACTAGATCATGCCTATTTTCTTCTGTTTATGCTATCAATTCGTCAACCTTGTTGTGAATGTTGCATGAATTCAGATGGAATGCCTTTAGGGTTAGAGTTAGGGTCTGCCTCCTGAAAGTTATCTTGTTTTTGCTCTATTTAATGTTTTTTTTTGCTGTGTTCCACTTTTGTTTACTACTTTTCTACTTCCCATTGCCAGCTTCGAGTGTCTTATTTCTGACTTGCCTCTCAGGGTGCCAACACCCTGACAAACCAATCTAAACCATGTCAACAACATGAGCAAATCTCCCTGGGATGGTTGCATAGTGGTAATGTTATTGGATTAGTAATCCGGAAGCCAAGCTAATGCTCGGGGTGGTATGGGGGTAGGGATGGGGGTGGGAGCACCAATTCTATTCCCACCATGACATCTCATGGAATTTAAATTCTATGATTATCACGGACGGTCATAAAATCCATCTGGTTCAGGTATGCTCTTTAGGGAAGGAAATCTTTCACTCTTAGTTGGCTAATCTACATCTGACTCTAGATCCACAGTGGTTGATGCTTGAGTACACCATGAAATGGCCTGGCAAGCTACTCAGTTCAAGGGCAATTGGGGATTGGCTTCCCGGAACACAGATTAAAATTTAGCCCTAAACCCATTTATGTTTTCAGAAAAGTTATTATGGATGTGATATTGTGCATACATTGCTGTTTGAATTAAATATAACTAATGATACCTATCAATTACATTTCTTAGATAAAAGAAGAAACAATTAGTAACACTTCATTCGTACTTAAGAATCTCAAAACCTTCACCAACTATACAGTGGCCGTGCGATGCATTGGTAAAGACCAAATTTACTGGAGTCACTGGAGCTCAATGGAAACTGGAGTAACCCCTGAAGATAGTACGTATTAAAATTTTGCGCATCCTATGTTAATAGGACTTCCAGGGTTTGAAGCTAATAGCTAAACCTTTAGGGTGTCTGTCGCCAGGAAGCCGGTGAGCTTTTTCATTGTATCTTGCCAAATTTACCTCATTAACTACATACCCTACCCCTATGGCCTCCCTCTTGCGGAATTCCACTTGCATTCTACCGTGTGCCATTCTCAGAACAACTCGTCACACACTGGGCACCTGCTCAAAGACCAGCACCCTTCACACCCATGCATCTTTAAAAGACCACTGTGCACCCAAACAATCTAGTGTTGGCTGTCCCTGGTAAAGTAATAGTACATTGTCCATGAAGCCATGCTGCTCACAGCACATAGCCAACATGGCTGACACTCTCCCACATACAACCCTGCTCTCTCACCTTAATCACTGTTTATCCACTAGGCCTCATAGTTTACCTGTCCTCAGCTACATCCCATTTTAAAAAAAACCCTCTAAGTCACTGCTACTCTGACTCCTTTACCAACTGTGCAGCCACTTCTTGTCTTTGTGTAGTAGAAAATCATTATACACAAGAAAGATGTCAGAAAGTTCCAAACATGAGCTTTAATTGGCAGCCAGCAAGAAACAAACAGACCAAAGCTTTCCTCCTCCTCCTCCTCCTCCTGCTCCTCTGATGCTGCTTGGCCTGCTGTGTTCATCCAGCTCTACACCTTGTTATCTCAGATTCTCCAGCATCTGCAGTTCCTACTATCTCCAAAATAATAGAGGTTGCATTTTACCGCATCAGTGCAAACCAAATGCTGGCATGATGACCAGCGCGAGTTATACAGTCCATAATGGTCTGCTGCATACAGCTGTCATCTAGGGGAACTGGATGTCAATCAGGTCATGTCTAGCTTGTGGTGCCCAGCTCAGCTCTAGCACATCCTTGTCTCCTCATTGGAAGATTGCCTTTGTCCCCGCGGTCCTCAGTATCTATCACGTTCTCTTGTGGCCTGCTCCAGTTGTGTAGAGCACAGCACTGCAGGATGATGCAGCACAGTCTGTATGGACTATACTGCAGGGGCACCCCAGACCGGTCCAAGCAGTAGAGCCCCACCTTCAGCAGTCCTATCACCTACTCTACAACAGTCCTGGTAGCAGAATGGACAATATTGTATCTGTGCTCTACATCAGTCAGGGGCTTGTGCAATGTTGTCCCCTGATCCATGTTGCAGCTGGTAGCCCTGTCCCCCAGTAACCAGCCTTCTAGGGCACCAGGTACATGGGAGTGCTCCAGAATATAGGAGTGGTGGCAGCTGCCACGGTAATGGATGTGTAACCGATTGGAACTGCTTCCTGTTGATGCATACCACAGTATTGTGATACTGCCCTCTCAGTGCCTAGTTGATGGCTCGTTGGCCCTGGGGGAGCCAGCTATGTTTTGTAGTGCCCAGGCTGCAGCACTGACTTGTCATGGGGAAACAAGAGGAAAACAAACCAGTGTGATATTGCACAGACGGCATCTATAATTGTCCTGATTCATTTATGGGTGCAACACTGAGAGATCACACACAGATCACCCATCACTCACTCAGGTTCTCTTGTGTGTAGCTTGTTTGATTTGTTAGTAAGATAGGAAACTGGATAAGGTGAATTGTGGCATTAATGAGGCATTTAACAGGCTATGATCCCCGTTAATTGGCAATTCACCACTGTTGAGTGCGAAGCTCGCCTTGCTGCTTGGTAAGTGCATGCAAGACGTAGGGAGATGGGCTCAAAGTAGAGATGGGCCTCTGCAAACTCCTTACACAATTCTGCTCCTCCCCCTGCCCTAGCCCACATTGCTTATACCCCTTATCACATTGTGTCCTACGTTGCCAAACAAAGCACAGGCACAGGATTGTTGTTAGTGGACCCAACACTGACAAATCAAGCTTTCCACTGCTGTACGCATGTTTTTCCATCTGACATTGTTAATGTCTGACACTTTGCACTAACCTTGATATACAAAGTTTTGAACTATAATAAAGATATTTCCGTCTATATTTCTCTTTCTGAACTTTCCACAATTGTCTTTCTTCTCTGAACCCAGCCTATTTGACGCTATACTTATTGAAAGCAGGTTGGTTTTAATTTTACATTTGAGATGGCAGCAACATATGATTTCTTGTTAACACAACAATCCTGCAGTAAGTAAGACATGGAATAAGCAGATTGTTCAGGATGAAGTTTAATAGGGTTCTTTGTTTACTTTTTACTTCGTCTTGTTGATTTCAGAGCCATTAACAGGACCATCCATTTGGAGAATAATTAAAACTCTTGATTCTGAGGGAAATAGAGAAGTACACCTTCAGTGGAAGGTAACTTTAAAACGTTACATTGATTGTCAAAGGATAAATTTGGACCAACGAGTTGTATTAACACTTTGGAGAAACGCATTAACTTTGTTTCAAATTTGCAGCCTTCTTTGTGTGTCTATCATGGTCTCATTGTTTCGCTTCCTGGCATTCTTTCCCTCGTGATCTTTCTTTCTGTAAAGATTCTATCCCTCTTCCCTTCCTTCATCTCTATCACATCTGTCCTGACACTGCCACATTATGCATAAAAGCCTCTGAAGCGTCTTCCTACAAGCTCAGGATTCCTTTCTACAATGGTAGACAAGGCCTGCAGTTAATTCCATTCCATTTCTGGTACTTCAGACTGTAGTCCCTAGTCCCCACCCAGCTCCTACTGGCCCAAAGGAAGTGCGATAATAAACTCTATGGTAAATAATGAATGTTGTCAGATCACCTTTTCCTGATATTTTAACCCTAACAAGCCTCTCCCAATTTGTTCCCCTTAATATCTTACCAATGGTTGATCAAAGTGCTCCCTAACATTCTCAGTTCCAGGAAATTCAGCTTTACTTTGTGACTCAAATGTTACCTCTGATTCTGCCAGACCTGCTGAGTTTCTCCACAAAATCCTGTTTTTGTTTGTTTTAGATCTCCAGAACCATTCTTTGTTTTGTTTTATTTTGTTTAGTTTCTTCTTTAATTTAACCCTTGGAGTCCAGATATCATTTTGGTAAATCCACACTGAACTCCCTGTAAGACCAATGTAGGCATTTTCTAATTAACCTTCTTAGAGATGTTATTGCATGCCTCTGGAACAGATGGGACTAGAACCTGGTTCTCCTGGCTCATTAGTAGGGACACTACTACAGTGTGATGAGAACCCTATTCAAGACCAGTATATCCTTTCAAGGATGTGGTGCCCAAAACAGCTTTCAGCACTCTAGGTGTGGTCTAACCAGGGCTTTGCACAGTTGAAGCAACATTTCTACTCCTGTATATTCAAATCCCTTGGATATAAATGTAAGCATTCTATTAGCCTTTTTGCATATTTCCTGTGCTTGTTCATGACATTTTAATACCTGCCCCAGTAAGTCTATTTGAGTCTCCACTGTTTCTACCCATTCACCATTTAAAAAGTATCTTGTTCTATCCCTTTACAGCTCCCAAAGTAGATGATCTCATGTTTGCTGCTGTAATTTTACTCATTCATTTAATCCATCTGTACTGCCTACAATACCTATTTTTGTGTCATCAACAAATGTGAATATATGACTTTCTATCCCATCATCTAAGTTGATAATTATTACTGTGAATTGTCAAGGTCAAATGTATATTATTTTAATGCAATTTTGTACTAACTGAGTTACAATCTAGGCAGCAGAAATACAATTTTGGACAACAGAAGATGAAATAATTGTGGTTTGATTGTGAAAGGTTATTTAGCAATTTTCACTTTTGGTGTCTATTTTAAATTGAGCTTCCAATTAGTATTGTTTGTATCTACACAAACCCTAGAATGCAGAAGTTATAGTTTTCCTACTATCTTTAATTTTCCAAATTATGCAAATACAAGGATATACAAGAAGTGAGAAATGACTCAGAGCTTGTGGGAAAATGGTACTATTTTCAGTTATGGACTATTTGTCAAATCATCAACATCTACCCTGAAGATCTTGAATATGATAATAGTAATAGCAACATAAATCTTTAAGCCTTACATGAGAAGTAGCAGGAAGTGAAATTATTTTCAAAGTGACGTGTTATTTTTGATGCAGGCATTAAACAGGTCCAAAGCCAATGGAATCATCTTAGGATACAGAGTCTGGTATGAGAAAAGAAGGGATCGAACAGTCATACAACAGTTTAATACAACATCCTTGAATTCTTCTTTGCTCCTGAACCACGATGCGTACATTATAACTGTAATTGCATATAACTCAGCTGGTGATTCTCCTAAAGCCACTTTGAAAATTCCAGCAGTAAACCAGACGGGTATGTTTTATTGTCCTTACTCTTAACAGTTACTTAACTAAAACATTTTCAAAGAGCCACAAAAGGAATTATTAATATTAATATCTGAAATACCATGAATAGTTTTTCTGCCTTAGTACTTCCCAATCTCCACTTTATAGTCTCCACCAATTTATAACCCCAAGGGTTTATTTAAAAAGACAGGCAGCTTTACATTCTGCAAAGAATGTGTTGATGTTTTGCAATTGTCAGTCAGATTATTGAACCATGAGCTGATGTGCAAACCTAATGTAACATCTGCTGCTCTCACTCCAAGCTACTTCATCCCTTCCCTGTGTATCTGCTGGAATTCTACTAGGCAAAATCCTCAGTACAGATTCCAGACCAAGTGAAATTTGAACTGAAGTCAATGAGATTTGATATCTCCAGTACAAAGCTAGGATGGTTATAATAGGTTGAATGACCTTCTTCTGTATTGTAAATTGCAGGGTGTGCTCCAATGAATGTTACACACCTCCAAGTGACTAGTTTCAGAACATCTTTGGCTGACCTGAACATATGCTACTACATAGTTGCTTACCTGACATAGCTTTTGTCAGTCGAAACTAACAAGTAAAGGGATGATATTATTACTCCTGTTCCCTAATGATATAGGGCATATTCTTATTACTTTATTAGGTTACATGCCGCAATGTACATTAATGTCTCTTCCCCTTTTTTTAAAAGAAAATCTTCCAGCTGTTCAAGATGTTAGAACTACATCACAGAATAACCAACTGCTCGTACACTGGAAGACTTCAAGGCCATCTGATAATGGATATGTCATTGAATGGTGTTTGATTTTGACTGCAAGCCCATGTGCTGGGCCATTACACTGGCAACGTGAGCCCAACACTTCCAAAATGACCTACTTACAGGGTAAGTATTTATGATCACATCAAAAGACTTTTTCTTTTTTATTCATTCATGGGATGTGGATATCACTGGCCAAGCCAGTATTTATTGCCCATCTCTAATTGAGAGTCAACTACATTGCTGTGCATTTGGAGTCATACGTGGACCAGACCAGGTAAGGGTGGCAGATTTCGTACCTTAAAGGACATTAGTAAACCAGATGGGTTTTTCCCAACAATTGGCAAGGGTTTCATAGTTATCATTAGACCCTTAATCTCAGATTTTTAAAAATTGTATTCAAATTCCCCAATTTGCCATGACAGGAATTGAACCCAGGTTCCCAGAACATTACCTCAGTCTCCGGATTAATAGCTAAGTGATAACACTACTAGGCCATCACCTCCCCTGTCTGACCATTAGTATACAATGAAATGACCACTGTAGAGAATAGACTGAGATTAAAGGAGAGGGATAGCTATTCCTTTTGCCCCCATTTCCATCTGTATTTTCTGAGGACGTTGACTTATACTAGTCACTTCGTGACTCCCCAGATACTGAAGCAGTCCATGTTCAAATGCAACAAGATCTGGACATAGCCAGGCTTGGGCTGAAAAGTGGTAAGTAACATTTGCACCACATAAATGCCAGGCTATGATCATCTCCAATAAGAGACAATCTAACCACTGCTCCTTGATATTCAATAGTGCTACCATCACTGCATCCCGACTATCAACATCTTGAGGGTTATAATTGAGCAGAAACTCAACTGGACTCACCACATATGCACAGTGGCTACAAGAGCAGTTCAGAAGCTAGGAATGCTGCGGTGAGTAACTCACCTCCTGATTCACCAAAGACTGTCCACCACCTACAAGGCACAAGTCAGGAGTGTGATGGAATACTCACCAGTTGCCTGGATGGATGTAGCTCCAACAATACTCAAGAAGCTTTACACCATCCAAAACAAAACAGCCCACTTGATTGGCATCACATCCACAAATGTCCACTCCCTGCAGCACAGGTGCTCAGTAGCAGCTGTGTGTACTACTTACAAGATTCACTGCAGAAATTCTCCAAATTCACCTTCCAAACCCAAAACCATTTCTTTCTAGAATGACAAGGACAGCAGGTACGTAGGAACACCACCACCTGAAAGTTTCCCTCCAAACCACTCATCACCCTAACTTGGAAATATATCACTACTTCTTCATTGTTGGTGGGTCAAAATCCTGGAATTCATTTCCTAAGGGCATCACAGCGACAGCAATGGTTCAAGAAGGCAGCTCACCACCACCTTCTCAAGGGCGACTAGGGGCAATAAATGCTTGCCAGGCAGCGACGCCCACATCACACAAGTGAATTAAAAAATATATCCCTTTGATTTTGATCATTTCTTTTTGCAATCACCTTTAAGAGCTGTTTACACATTTTTTCTCTTTTTCAAGGGCTCCCCCCAGCATTGAACTAAATATGTGCTTGAGCTCACCCATGAAGTATGAATAAAACTAACCCTGTAGAATCAGCTATGTGCAGTACACCAGCTGAATCGGTACTAATAACTTGCTGCTAACTGATCAAAAAAAAACAAAGAACCGTGAATGCTGGAAATCAGATATGCAAACAGAAATTGCTGGAAAAACGCAGTAGGTTTGGCAGCATCTGTGGAGAAAAGCAGAATTAACATTTCAGGTGCCTTCTCTCTCTTTCTCTCTCTCTTATGACCCGCTTTAATAGCTGTTAATTCTCCCGGGTTGATCTGTACCCACTCCTCTGTCTGCCCAAGCATTTTTCTCTCTCTGGACTACATCTCCACCTATTGTTTATTCCTTCCCTCTCCCCCTATTCTTTAGCATATATACCAATATTTTCCTGGCTACAAACAATTCTGCAAAAAGGTCATTAGACCCGAAACATTAACTCTGTTTTCTCTGCACAGATGCCACCAGACCAGTTAAGTTTTTCCAGCAATTTCTGTTTTTAACTGTTAACTGTGCTGTCAACTGATGCTTGGTTGGAAAATCTTTTCTTATGTATAATTTAGGTGATGTACTCCAAGCACATTTTCACTAGCTTGAATAAATACATTCTTAATATTGCATGCGCATTTAAAATAAAAGTGGATGCAGAATGGTAAAAATACTTAAGCAATATTACTCCTTCTGAATCGTCTTCCAAACTTGTGGACTTTAAGAGAGAAGAAATTACAGGTTACTTTTTGTAGCAGTTTCTTTATTACCAAAACTGAGACCATAGCATTCCCAACTGATATATTTTAATGAACATTCTGCAATATTTTTAATTGAATAACACAAAACGAAGATGATAGTTTACCCAATTTATCTTTTCATCCACATCAGTTTGCTTGATTGTAAAACAGGCAGCCATGGCTGGAATTAATTTCTCTTTAACTGCACAAAGTATCATGATATAAACAATTCAGTCAGGGTTGAGATGTCTGTGAAGACTCTGAGTCTCCTGGTTAATGTCGTTTCATTAAAGGACAGTGACTATCAAGAATATGCTGTTTTGGATCAGTTAAAAGGTTCAAGCATTGCATCGCATCTACTATTGTAAAGAATATGACTAGTTAAAGTTTGAGTGCAACAACTACATTTTGATTTTTTGATATTGAAAGTAAACTGCATAAGAATCTTCATGAGCTGCACATTGTTCCCTTTGTTGATCTTTTTCACAGGAGATTTAGAAAAATTTAAGCGCTATAACATCTCTGTTTATGCTGTGTACACTGATGGTCCAGGAAATCCATTCTCAATGCCAGTATACCTACAGCAAGATAGTAAGTAAATATTTCCAGGATTTAACAGCTAACAAGGGACTTTCCAAGGACCTTGATTTCAGATAGTTTATAGAAATTTGATTAAACATCGGGGAGGAGGCTATATCCTTAGTTGTATTGCCAACTTAGAAATGCAGCTTGTAAAATTGGCTCAGTTGAAACGTTCTATTTCCTGACCTTAAAAACTAATTATACTCTAGAAAGTTTAATACTTTTTAAAAAAATTCTGAACTGTTAAAATAATTTCCTTTTAATTCTGTTTCCTAGTAAAATTATGCGCAACAGTAATTACTCTTTGCTTAAATCAAGAAGTACATGTTGTATTTATGATGTCAAAATATGACTTTTTTCATTGATTTATTACTTTATCTGGAATAGCTGTATAAATACAGTAGCTGTAAGAACAGGTCAGAGGCTTGGAATCCAGTGGAGAGTAACTCACCTCCTGACTCCCTAGATTCTGTCCACCATCTAGAAGACACAAGTTGAGAGTGTGATGGAATACTCCCCACTTACCTGGATGAGTGCAGCTCCAACAACATGCTTGAAAGGATCCAAGACAAAGTAGCCCACTGATCGGTACCATGTACACTCCCTCCACCATGATTACACAGTAACTACAGTGTGTGCCATCTACAAAATGCACTGCTATAACTCACTAAGTCTCCTTCAATAGCACCTTCCAAATCTGTGACTTCTACCAACCAGAAGGAGTAGGATAGCAGATACATGGGAACACCAAGGTCACCTTCAAAATCTCACATCATCTTGACTTAGAAATGTGTCACTGTTCCTTCACTGTCACTGGGTCAAAATCCTGGAACACCATCCATTATAGTACTCTTGTTGCACCGACACCCCAAGGACTGTAGCAGTTCAAGAGGACAGCTCACAACCACCTTCTCCAGGGCTGCTAGTCTAAAGAACAATTTTATTTGCCAACAGTGATGACATCCTATGAAAGAATTATTTTTAAAAATGCTAATCCTATTTGGATCGAGTTATAATGCAAAGAATGCATTTCTTTTAATGGGCAAAGAAATAAAATTCACTTGGAAAATAACATGGCTGGCTTTTTAGGTCCGATTTTAACTATTAAAGCCTGTCCACGTGTTCTGTAGTAGTGGAGATGATTGTTATACTCATTTAATCTGCTTCTGGCAAGTGTATGGGATAGAGGTAAGTCGAGTGTTAAGAGGCTGCTGAATGCCATTACCTGAAGAGCCCCACAGCACTGTATTGTAATACTACCCTATTTCTGTGGTGAGTGATAGTGAAGATAAGAAGGGTAAAAAGTCTCTGTTTCTAAATGAATAAATGCAAAGGATTATTAGCGTTACATGCATGTGCGATGAAGATTTTCTTTGTCAGTTCCAGAAGTAGGCCCAATTATTGATGCTCCACTTGTGAGAGGTACAGAGTGCACAGTTAAATGGCATGAAATCCCAGTGGAAAAGAGGCGTGGATTCATCACCAATTACACCATCTTTTACAAACATGCAAAAGGCGAAGCTGGTAAATGTGCTGTTTCAAGTAGTCTTGTATAAAATAAATATTAAGATACAGTCAGATCCATATCATTGCTGCAGCAATTGCTCCAGTATTGTTATTGTACATACAGTATCATTTATATATTCCTTGCGCGTGCTTCAATGGACTATTCTAACCCCCTGCAGCCCTCTGGGTGCTGGTTAGCTTGTTGGTTATTTGGCCCAACTGTGGTACAGGTGACATCAACAGCATGGATCACAATCCCTGTACCACCTGTGGCAGTTCCTTGCCATCTCCCATGTTTGATGCAGCTTAATACCTCTCAAGCTATACAGCTACTTGTCTATCTCTAACAGAGAGAGATGTTTATTGTCCATTAACCTCAACTACAATTCTCTCTTTGTGACATTTTAGCAGCAAATCTGTTCACTGCTTCCGTGTATTTTGAGTGCTAATATCCACAGATCTCATGAAACAGGTACATAAAGTGTTTAAAAGGCATTAAGGATGCACTACTTAGAGGAGGCATAGACTACAATAACAAGGAGTTTATGCTGGAATTCCATCTGATGCTAGTTAAACCAAACACAGTTATGGTCAGCCATCAACATGAAGGATGTGATCACACTGGAAAATAGTACAGAGGAACGTTGCCAGGGACTGGAGAATTTTAATTGAGGAAAGAATGAAGAGGCCAATATTGTTTGTCATCGAACAGAGGAGGTTGTGGGAAGATTTAATTGATACATTGGCAAACAATGAGGAGCTGAGACAACATGGATGGAAATGACCTATTTAACTTAGTAGAGAGGTCATGAACCAGGAGTGGAATTTAAAGGATTAAGAATTAAAGTAGAAGGATTAAGAAGGAATTGAGGAGCACGTTTTTTCACTCAGAGGCCGGAGAGCCTGAAACTCACTGTCTGAAAGGGTGGCTGAAACAGAAACATTTAAAAAGTACATGGCAACACTTTTGAAGTGCTTTGGACTACAGTACAAGGTACTAAAAGTGCCAATGGCCTCCTGTGTTGTAATTTTTTGAATCAATGATCCTATGAATTTGTGAAAGGAACATTGTGTTAAACCTTGAACAAAAACAAAGTTGCTGGAAAAGCTCAGCAGGTCTGGCAGCATCTGTGGAGGAGAAAACAGAGTTAAAATTTCGGGTCCGGTGACCCTTCCTCAGAACTGAATCCGCAGTTCTTTTGGTTTTTATTGTGTTAAACCTTATTGTTGCACACAGAGACTTCTTCACAAAATTCTCTTGGTCAAAGGTTTATTGCCTTCTAATTATTTTTTCCACTATTTCACAGGTGTAACAGTGAATTCAACAGTCCATGAATATACACTGAAATCTCTGCAGAAGAATACTGACTACACATTTTATGTTATGGCATCCACAGAGAAGGGAGGCATAAACAGCACGTTGAGTTCCTTCACAACAAATGCTCTTGGTCAGTGAAGTAAACTTAGAAAAAGTTTTATGCGCGTTTATTTCTGGGCTGCGTTTGTGTCAAGGACTCAAAGCAGCTGCAGTGTTCCCCTGCCAAGCCAACTTTCCTCCCCTACGAAGCTGACATTGTCACCCCTGATGGGCCATTGTGCCAGGGCTGACTTTAAAGTGTTAGAGCTTGTGTTCCTTGTGGTTTCTTGGGTCTCATTCCCTTTATTAAAGGGAATAGTGCACATTTACAACAGAAGAAGTGAATTTCAGATTTTATCAGTGTGAAATTGCTATCAGGAACAGGAACCGATAAGAGCCCATTCGCATAAAAAAGGTACCTGTCCCTGTTTCCACACATCTTAAATTGAGGACCCATTTCTATCTAAAATCCACAAAGTAGATTAATACATTTCTAACTTCTTTCAAAATATTTCACTATACTTATGGTCATTCAATTGAAAATTTATGCATATTTAATATAGCAGTGTTCTGCAGATGTCGCAAGATTCAAACACTGTGAGTGGGACTCAAAATAATTGAAATTCTCATTAGATCAAGAGTTTTGAATTTATCACATGAACATACAAAGGAGTAGGCTGCTTGGCCCCTTGAGCCACTTCCGCCATTCAACAGGATCAAAGCTGATCTGATTCATCCACATTCCTGCCTACCCAAAATAACCTTTCATCCCCTTGTTTGTCAAGAATCTATCTACCGGTACTTTAAAAAGATTCAAAGACTGTTGTGATTGGTTGGCTCGCTGAGCTGGTTCGTTGTTCTGCAGACATTTCATTACCCTGCTGGGTAACATCATCGGTGCAGCCTCGGAGGGCCAACCAACCACAACGTCCACAACCCAAGCTACAAATCTACTCTAAAACCTTAGATTCAAAGACTCTATTTTCACCTTTTTTTGAAAAGAGTTCCAAGCATTCATGCCCCTGACAAAAATTTTCCCTAATCTCTATTTTTAAACAAGACCACTAGTTCTGGCTTCTTCCACAAGTGGAAAAATCATTTCCATATTCACCCTGACCCTCATGTTTTGAACAATTTGCCTCTTACTCTTCTAAATTTCAGTGGGCATAAGCCTAGCCAGTCCAACCTCTCCTCATCAGACAAATGGCCCATTCCAGGTATTAGTTCAGTAAACCTTTTCTGAACCATTTTCCCTTCAAACAAGAAGAAATGTAACCTGGGTTTGCTGGATGCCAAATGCTAAGGAATTGCTGTTTTCATTTTCATTTTCATTTATACAACACAGTCTCTTAATATCAGGTAACAGACTATTTTTAAATCTACATGGATAGTATTGACTGTAAGATTGTGCTTTGTGGATATTAGTGTTAAATTTCTGAAGGCATTCTGTGAAATTCCTATTTTGAGTATCAGAAACCAAAAATTTAAGTTGTTTAAAATAGTTGATTAATAAGTTTTGAAACAATATGTACCGTTATTTGTGTGGCAGTGTCAAAACCTTTAGAGAGTTGGTTTAAAAGTTTATTGTTATCAGTATATTCTGGTAAAACATTTAATGCCTGCAAATGGAACAAAATGTTGGATAACAGAATGCTGGAGGAAGTCTTGCCAAACCTAAATAGAAATACAAGCACTGTATGTTACCTATCAGGGTTGTGACTGGCATTGCTTCAAAATAATATCTAGTTTATAATTGTATTACAGGGCAAGAAGATATCGTGGTGATTCTGGTGCCTGTTCTCGTCGGCTTCCTACTATTAGTAAATGTCTTGATAATCTGCTTCAACAACAAGCATAGGTTAGTATGTTAACTTTTGATGTTTTGAGTTCCAAGTACCAGAGGTAAGTTCTGGTCATTAGCATTCAGGGCAGAAAACTTCACACGTAGTACATATGGAAAAATAAAAAAAATGGGTTCAATTTTCCATGAACTCAGTTCTGTAGGTGTGAAACACTGAATAGTACCTGCCCAATTTTCCAGTTCTCATTCCCTGTATGTGGTGCTCTGTGCTGGCAACACTGAATATGAACAATCACACAATGTAAAGTTTGATGCATTACATTATTTTGTGGCATTGCAACATGTATCACATGAAGCATGAGGATTGGGCTGTGGGTTATGATCTGGAGTGTCTGACATCAGCAGTCAGTGCAGGAACTGCTGGTTACACTTGCAGCATTGGAACCTCATTCTCTTATACAATATAGTACAGGACGATCCTGAGGGCAGACGTGATTGACATGTATAAAATTATGAGGGGCATAGACAGAGTAGATGGGAAGAAACATCTCCCCTTGGTGGAAGGATCATTGACCAGGAGATGTACCTTTAAAATAAGGCACAGGATTTTTAGAGGGATGTGAGGGATACAATGGACCAAGTACTGGAAGTTGGAATTAGAATAATTGGTCATTTTTTGACTGGTGTGGACTTGATGGGCTGAAGGGCTTTTTTCTGTGCTGTTGACCTGTATAGTTCAGTGACTCTATATGGGTGCTTATAGTTCTGTGACTCTATATGGGTGCTAGACAGCAAAAAGGAACAATTGTAGGAAGGAAGGTGGTCATTCTTTAAGGAGGGGGCTACTGTGGAGCAGTTCTTTTCTCTTCTGGCTTGATCTCCCAGTAGCATCCATACCCACATTGAATATCTCAAAATATCAAACTTAATTTAAGTGTCCACTTAACATTGGAGGAGACAGTGGTATTGTGGTAAGATCATGGGAATAGTAATCTAGAGACATAGGCTCATGCTCGAAGGATGTGGGTTTGAATTGCAACATGGCAGACTGTAAAGTTTGAATTCAATAAAATCTGGAATTAGAAGTTAGTGTAATGGCTATCATATAACTGTTGTTGAATTGCCATTAAAAAAAATGTCTGCTTCACTAATACCATTTAAGGAAAGAAATCTACCATCCTAATGTGGTATGGCCTACAAGTGGCTCCAGACCAATGAAAATAAGGTTGACTCTTAACTAACCCCTTGATTGGCTCCCTATCCATCACTGTTCACATTCAGACCCTTTGCCACCAACAAACAGTGGCAGTAATATTTACCATCTACACAATGTATCTTCAATAGCACCTTAATAAGGCATGACCTTTCATACCTGGAATGACATAGGTAGAAGAGGCATGGGACCCCCAGCACGAGCATGGTCCTTCCCCCAAGTTGCTTTCCACCTTGAATTGAAATTACATTGCTGCTCCTTCAGTGTTGTTGGGTAAAAATCTGGAACTCCCTCACTAACAGCATTAAATATAAAAAGGGCTAAATGTAGTATTTTATACCTGCCATCAGTATTGTAGAATGTGTCTCCCCTCATTAGGAAAAAGGAGAGCAAGGAGGGGTCATGAAATGTCTTTGGCAAGTAGGGTTAAAGAGAATCCCAAGGTATTTCATACGTACACTAAAAGCAGGAGGAAAAGTAGAGAGAGGGTAGGCCCACTCAAGAATAAAGAAGGGAACTTGTGCTTGAAGGCAGGTGGTATGGGTGAGATCCTAAATGCATACTTTGCATTGGTATTCACCCACAAGAAGGACGTGGAAGGAACTGAGATTAGGGTGGAGCATGCTAACGTGCTAGGGCACTTGAGGTCAAGAAAGAAGTGGCGTTAGGTATCTTGAAGAAGATTAAGGTGGACAAGTCCCTAGGGACTGATGGGATCGACCCCAGGTTTTTGAGGGAGGCAAGAGAAGATATTGCTGGGACATTGACCAAGGTCTTTATATCCTCGCTAGCCACTGGAGAAGTCCCTGAGCACTGGTGAGTAGCTAATGTTGTTCCTCTGTTCAAGAAGGGAACTAGGGATAATCCAGGAAATTATAGATTGGTGGGTCTCACATTGGTCGTTGGGAAGGTATTGGAGAGGGTTGTTAGGGATAGGATTTACACGCATTTGGAAGAACATGGCCCATTTAGGGACAGTCAACATGGCATTGTGTGAGGCAGGTCACGTCTTACTAACTTAATTGAATTTTTTGAGGAGGTAATGAAGGTAATCGAGGGTAGAGCAGTGGCTGTTGTTTTACATGGGTTTTAGTAAGGCTTTCAAAAAGGTCCCTCATGGTAGACTCATCGAGAAGATTAAGATGCATGGGATCCACAGTGACTTGGCTGCGTGGATTCAGAATTGGCTTGCCCATAGAAGGCAGAGTGTAATGGTGGAAGGAAGTTTTTCAGGCTGGAGGTCCGTGACTAATGGTGTTCTGCAGGGATCCATACCCATCAGGGGAGTTGTGTATAGTGTAGAAGGTTGTCAAACGATATAATGGGATATAGATCTGTTGCAGATATAGGTGGAGAAATGGCAGATGGAGTTTAAACTGGGTAAGTGTGAGGTGTTGCGCTTTGGGAAATCAAACATTAAAGGAAAGTGCACTGTTAATGGCAGGACCCTTATCAGCATTGATGTACAGAGGGATCTTTGGGGTCCTAGACCGTAGCTCTCTGAAAGTGGCCACATGAGCAGATAGGGTGGTAAAGAAGTTGAATGAAATGCTTGCCTTTTGTTGTTTGGGGCATTGAGTACCAGAGTCAGGAAATGATGCTGCAGCTTTATAAGACCTTGGTTAGGCTGCACTTAGAGTATTGCGTTCAATTCTGGTCACCACGTTACAAGAAGGATGTGGAGGCTTTGCAGAAGAGGCTTACCAGGATGCTGAATAAAAACCGAAAGAACTGCCGATGCTGTAAATCAGGAACACCAGGATGCTGCCTGAACTAGAGGGAATGAACTGTAAGGAAAGGCTGGATGAGCTAGCGTTGTTTTCTCTGGAGCGGTGGAGGCTTAGGGGAGACCTAAAAGTTTATAAAATTATGAGATGCATAGATGTCAGAATCTTTCTCCCAAATTTGAAACATCTAACACTAGGGGGCATGCATTTAAGGTAAGAGGGGGAAAGTTCAAAGGAGATGTGAGGGGTAAGTTTTTCACACAGATGAGTCTGGAACATGTGCCAGGGTCAGTGATAGGAGCAGAAACAATAGGAGTGTTTAAGGGGCTTTTAGATAGGCACATGAAAATGCAAGGAATGGAGGGAATAGGACCATGGGCAGGCAGAAGGGATCATTTTAACTTGGCATCACGTTCGGCGCGACATCGTAGGCCGAAGGGGCTGTTCCTGTGCTGTGCTATTCTATGTTCTATGTTCTATGAGTCATAGATTCATAGTGTTAGTCAAACCAGTTCATGCCAACCATAATCCGAAACTAGTCCCACCAGCATGTGCTTGGCCCATATCCCTCCAAACATTTCCTATTCATGCACTTATCTAAATGTCTTCTAAACATTGTAACTACACCCGCATTCACCGCTTTCTCTGGCAGTTCATTCCACACATGAACCCACTGTCTGTGTAAAAAAATTGCCCCTTTCCCCTCTCACCTTAAAAATATGCCCCTTAGTCTTGAAATCCCTTAACCTAGGGAAATGACACCTGCCATTCACCTTATCTATATCCCTCATTATTTTATAAACCCCTATAAGGTCACTCCTCGACCTCCTATGCTCCAGTGAAACAAATCCCAGCCTATCCAGCCTTTTGAGTTTGTTGACTTGCTCGCTGAGCTGGTGAATTCTTGTTCAAACGTTTCGTCACCATGCTAGGTGACATCATCATTGGAGCCTCCAATGAAGCGATGTCGTTCTATTCTGCTTGGAATTTATACTGTCTGGTCCATTATGGTGAGTACTATCATTTTGCTCTGTATTAGTTTGTATATGGGGTCCAATATTGGACCGGAAATGACACTACTCAGCATAACGGACCGGACGGTATAAATTCTAAGTGGAGTAGAATAACATCATTTCATCGGAGGCTCCACTGATGATGTCACCTAGCATGGTGACGAAACTTCTGAACGAGAACAAGCCAGCTCGGAGAGCAAGTCAACAACTTCACCCACAACCCGAGCTACAGATCTTTGCCAAAACTATCCAGCCTATCCTCATAATTCAAACCCTCCATCCTCAGCAACGTCCTGGTAAATCTCTTCTGAACCCTCTCCGGTTTAATAGTATCTTTCCTGTAACAGGAACTGTACACAGTACTCGAGAAGTGGCCTCACCGACGTTCTGTACAACCTCAACGTAACGTTCCAACTCCTATACTCAAAGGTCTGAGCAATGAAGGCAAGCGTCCTAAATGCCTTCTTAACTAACATATCAATACATGATGCAAACTTCAAAGAATTATTTACCTGAACTCCTACTTTTAATTGTATAAATCTTGTTCCATGTTCTATGTTCACCCATTTTGAATGACATACAAGTACATAAATGGCAAAAGTATCTGAAATATATTGCAGCTATGGTTCGTTTAGTTATTTGAAGGATATAATTTTTATCTCTGACTCTTTTAGGATTGCAAAACACATTTGGCCTGAGGTGGCAGATCCAGCAGGCAGTAGTTTGGCTGATTGGTTTCATGAACACCAATATAAGGTATATTTTTCTCCCTTTATGTTTTTGATTTGTGGTAGTGAGTTTAATTTAGTACAGAAACAGGAAATATTGGAAATACTCAGTAGGCAAGACACCTTTTGTATGAAGATTAGCTTTTCATATCTGTTGTTTATATTTTTCACAACTCAGTAGTTTACCTTTATTTTAACTTTGTTACTTTTTTTGGGAATAAATTCAATGAATAGTAAAATCCCCTGCACACTGCATGTTTCCTCAAATTTTACTTTCCTATTTTGAAATGATTTTAATTTAAAAAGTTTTCGTAAACTATTTGGTACCTTAGATTCTAATCTTCTTTAATTGCAGTAACACTTGGTGCCATCTTGCTATCTATCATTAAAATATAACAGTGATTGAACTGTTAGTCACACTTCAATTAGTTTTATATCTTTTCTAAGCAGCACAACTTTCACTGTCTCCAATTCACTTTACTGTATAATGTGAACATTTCTGTAATTTACTGTGTGTGCATGTATCACAATGTGCTGGAAGTGCTACAGGAACAAGGGAATGTAGGAACAGGAATAGGCCATTCAGTGCAGTGAGTTGAGATCATGGCTGATCACCTACCTCAGCGCTGCTTTTTCCTGCATTATCCCTTGATGTTATTACTAAGTAAAAATTTACTGATGTGACTTAAACTTAGATAATGATGAAGCATCCATAACCTTCTGGAATAGAGAATACTAAAGACTTAATACACACTGAGCGAAAAATTCCTTGTCATCTTAGCTATAATGCCTTACCTCTTTTTATGAGACCGTATTCTCTGCAATCACCCACCCCTCCATCCCAACAGAAAACATCCCTTTTGCATCTATCCTGTTTATGAATGTTGTATGTTTCCATGAAAAACATAATCAGACCAGAACAGACAGCAAAGGGCTGTTGGCTACCACTTCCAAACATGGCAAGGAAAGAACACGGTGGAAGTAGACATTTTCATTTTTAATGAAAGCATTGCCCTTTCTTCAACCTCTTTGTTCCAAATGTGTGCTTCTCAGGTTCTGCAACTACTATGACAGGTTGCATCATTTAATTATAATGAGCCTGGTGCACATTGACTTGTGTATTGAATTCTAGCACCCTTTGCTCCTGTCGCTGACATACTAGGACATGCTGAGTCCTTTCTATTGCCTCTTACCTCTGGGCAGCTCATTCCCCAGAAAATGAAGCACAATGTATTTCAGTTCATTGGCAATTGCCATTGGATTACCAGTCTCTTTAATTTAAAAGACATCCTGCTGAACAATCATCGTTAAATATACTTGGATGTGTAAACTTGTGGTGCGAATTGCTTGGTGTTGATTATGCATATACAGGAGCGGTGCAGATGGTCATTGGTAACTACCAGAAGGAAAACAAGGCTGACCTGCTGCTTCACAGCTAATTGTTTCTTTTTTGGAATGTAATCTGTTGTTTTGTGGCAGTCATTTTGCATACACCTAGGTTCATGAAACTGTACCTCTGCACCTTCTCTGTAGCTGTAACACTCTGTTCTGCATTTTGTTCTATTACCCTGATGTACTTATGTAAGGTATGATTTGCTTGGCTAACACACAAAACAGTACTTTTCACTGTATCTTGGTACATGTGACAGTAATAAATCAAATCAAGTCGCATCAAATCAAATCAATACATTGAATAAATAACCAGTTACTCTGATTTGTTGGTTTAACTTGAAGGATAAATACTATTCAGGAATCTTCTCTAAACTACCTCCAATGCAATTACATCTTTTTTCAAGTAAGGGGTGTGCCCTGCAGAGGGATTAAACCATTAAGCTGTTGACTCTGTGTGGAGCTGGAGGAACACAGCAGGCTAGGCAGCATCAGAGGAGCAGGAAAGTTGGCGTTTCGGATTGTGACCTTCTGAAGAAGGGTCCCGACCCGAAACGTGAACTTTCCTGCTCCTCTGATGCTGCCGAGCCTGCTGTGTTCCTCCAGCTCCACACTGTGTTATCTCTGACTCCAGCATCAGCAGTTCTTACCAACTCTGAAGCTGTTGACTCTGATGTGAATGCCATCACTGAGCCAAATTGATACTTATTAGCATAGAAATGGAGATGATGATCACTCCAATCATTATTTCATGAAGAGTAATTAGCATTCAGAATGTGGGATGAGTTGAATTTTTGTTTAAGTGGGGAAAGAATGCAGAATGCTGCAGCACTGAGGATTTGGATGTCCTGTTGCATGAATCACAAAAAACTGGCATCCAAGTTTAGTGGGGAACAGGAAAGACAAATGATCTTTTGGCCTTTATTTAATCGGGAATGGAGCATAAAAATAGGGACGTCTTGCTAAAACTCTGAACAATTTTGACCCCTTATCTAAGGAAAGACATATTAGCATTGGATACAGTCCAAAAAAGATTCGCTTGGTTGTTTCCAGGTATGGAGAGATCTTCTTATGAGGAGAATAGGTTGGGTTGGGTTTGTACTCATTGAAGTTTAGAAGTATGGGAGGAAACCTTATTAAAATATGTAAGATTCTCAGGGGGCTCGAAAGGATAAATTTGGAGGGATTGTTTTCTCTTTTGGTACTCTCGGACCACGGGTCATCATCTCAAAGTAGTACAGTCACACATTTAAGAAGAGATAAGGAGGATATTTTTCTCTCAGGAGGTGGTCAATGTGTGAAATTCTTTACTCAGAAGGCTGTAGAAGCTGGGTCATTAGTACATCCAAGGCTGAGGTGAACAGATTTTTAATCAGTAAGGGAATAAGGTGATATGGGAAAGAGACAGGAATGTTGGGTTGAGAATTATCAGATCAGTCATGATCTCATTGAATGGCAGAGCAGACTCGATGGACTGACTGGCTTACTTCTGCTTCTTGTCTCATGGTCTTGCGTGTATTTTGCCTCTAGTGACTAACTTTTGTCAGTTAGTGCTAAAACAAAGAAGAAACTTATTTCTACCAAAATTAATTTCAAAGATAGTAGAAACTGCAGATGCTGGAGAATCTGAGATAACAAGGTGTAGAGCTGGATGAACACAGCAGGCCAAGCAGCATCAGAGGAGCAGGAAGGCTGACGTTTTGGGTCTAGGCCCGAAA